AAATGGGGAGTGTTTGTGAAATGGTGCCATGATGTTCATATCGACCCGGCTGCTTGCTCCGTGTCGGATGTGCTGCGTTTACTACAGTACAGACTGGATAGTGGATCTCTGCCATCAACACTGAAAGTCTATATGGCCGCTATTGCCTCGTTTTGTTCCCCGCTGGGCGGGCAATCGATCGGTAGGCACGCGCTGGTGGTGAGTTTTCTAAAGGGAGCGAGAAGATTGCATCCCCCACATCCACCTTCAGTCCCGCCCTGGGACCTAGAGGTGGTGTTAAGAGCTCTTTCACAGTCACCATTCGAGCCTTTAGCATCCGTTGATATGAAGGAGCTATCTCTCAAAACTGCACTTCTTTTTGCCCTCGTTTCGGCTAAGCGCATAGGGGATTTACATGCGTTTTCTGTGGACAGTGACTGTATTCGCTTCGGACCCGGCGACTGCAGCGTCACTCTCCGGCCGAGGCCGGGCTACGTGCCTAAATCACTATCTACCCCCTTCAGAGCGCAGACTGTTTTGCTGTCTGCCCTGCCTTCTGAGTCATCGACCTCGCGTGATGCGGACGCTTAGACTTCGGTGTGCCCCGTCAAGGAGTTCCCATAACGGAGAAATATCTCCGTGATGTCTCGTTCCCGCTCTCAGGTAACCGAGGTTACGATAGTAACCGGAGCGTTCTGTTCTGTTTACCCTGGGGGGGTTATCGCTGCTCTCATCCATGCTAGGCTGCATGAAGGCGCAGGGAGTTCTTGCCCAGAACAGAACCATACCGCCAATCCAAACTGTATGCTAATTGTCAATCATCTTTGATGATAGTGGCCCTGACAGAACTGGAGCTTGTACCCATCATGAAGGATGATGTGAATATTCCTCACCTTTTTAACAGTTAAAGCACAAACCCCACCACAGATTCTAAAGATTTAATTGGTCGTGTCAATCACAGTGATCGCCTACACAACACTGAAACAAATCCAGTACAAACCCATGACCTTAGTATAGGGTTACTTTGAGTCAAAGCAACCACATTTCAGAAACTTCCCCAACTCAATTTTTGGTTTTGTTCTTTTTTTTTTTTCAGAAGAAAGACAAACTATTTGATGGACATTGGATATTTACGGAGTAATCCATTATTTTGTATGAGGGGGTCAAAATGACCATTTTCATCAGGAATTTGGATCCAAATTACAGGGTGAAAAATAACTTTAGAAAGATGGCAGATTATTTAATTTCTACACAGTGATTGTTAATTCTATTAGCACAAGTGGTTGACTTTAGCAATACTTGTTGCA